GGCGCGCGGGCTCGGGAACCTTCCTGCGGCCTCTCCCTGCAGAACGCGGCCACCGCAGCGGGGCGGCTGCCGGGGTGGACGGGGCTGTGCACACAGCTGTGTCCAGCTGCCCGACCCCTCGCGCTGCCCTTTCCCTTCGGCCCTGATTCAGCGTTCAAACGTCGTGTTTCTCACAGAAGCCCTGAGACTGTGGTGCTGCGTGCGTGCGTGCGCGTGTGCGTGCGTCCGACGGTGCGTGCGTGCGTGCGTGCGTGCGTGCTTGCGTGCGTGCTTGCGTGCGTGCTTGCGTGCGTGCTTGCGTGCGTGCGTGAGGGGAGGGGCGTGGCGCACGGGGAGGGGTGTGGTCTGCGTGGTGGAGGCGCAGCCTGATTGTCCCAGGCTTGACAGGTGCTGCTCCTGGCTACCTACTTCTTGGAGCTGTCCCTGCTAGAGGCCGAGGCTGCTGGATGGGAGCCCGGTCGTCGTGCGGCTGCAGCTCTGAGCCTGGCACACCGCGCGCTGGACGGGGCGGGCTCCGGGCCTGAACCGGCGCTTTACAGGTAATACCGAGGCGGAGGGGCGCTGTGCTTTTAGGGACCTACCTATGGTCAGGGAATGAGACAATTATGCGCTGAGGGGACACACATAGATTGATTTTTCTGGATGTGAGAATAGTATGTCTGCATCCTCTGGGGTCTTTTACCCCCTTGACATCTGAAAGGAGTTTGTTTAGATTGGGAGCTCTTAACTTTGCCCCAGGGAGGACCTCCCCAGGAAGACGCTCTAAACTCTGTGGAGTTGAGAATGAAAAGTCTGCTGGCTTAGAATCCCCCCAGGCTCCATCTAGCCACGATTAGGGTATCCCTTTAGTTGCTAGAGCCCCCCTCCTTGTTCACCTTGTCACGGAAGCAAGAATGGTCCTTTCTCTCCTGTTCCCGTGGGATACCTGCAGTTCCTCAGGTACACTCCTTCTTCCTCGTGGGAGCTTGCTCCCCTGCCTTCTGTGGGGAGAATCAAGGGGCTCTCCTTTCTTGGCGACCCCCAAGTCATTCTAGATGGCAGGTCTCGTGTTCTCGCTGGAAAGAACCCCTGAGAGATCTGGGGACCCAAGTCAACATGTTCTCTCAGCCTTAAGCCCCCACCTACGAGAATAGATCATCTCCACCGCGACCCCTGCCCCCACCTCAGCTTCCCTATCTCCCCGCTGCAGCCCCTTGGAGCTGGGCGCCCTTGAGCCGTGCATGGCCCGCGCTGCGCTCCGAGGCCCAGCGCCCGGCCGTGCCGCCATTTTCCTCAAGTACGCGCGGCCCCAGCGGCAAGGCATCAGCCTGGTTGCCGCCCGTCTGCTCCGCTGCCCCCAGCACTGGCCTTGCTGAGCCTTGAGATAGGATTTCAAAAAAAAACCACTTGTGTATCAGTTTTCCATTTCAATAAAAGTTTTTTATTCTGAGCGCTCTCTGTGCTCATTGGTCGAATTTGGCCCCTTTCTCGCTGTTGACTGGTCATTGCCTGTGCCTCGTCCCTCTGATTGGATGTTTTCATCAAATCCTTGCTGGGAGAGGCGGTACAAGTCCTGAACTCTTCCGCTAGAGGGCACTGGCGGGCTTTCGTGAGCGCCGCTTAGAAGTCTAAAGTTGGGGTCTCGACTGGATGCCTGCAGCATCCAGAACTAGAGAGAGACAAACCCAGACTTTGAAAGGGAAATTGCCACGCAAAGCTGAATGACTCTGGGTCTCAGCTTGTGAAGAAAGGAAGAGAGATGGGAACTGAGAAACTGAGACCACCCACCCTAGTCATGTGGAATGCTATCTTGATATAGCCGAATTATCAGGTTTTCAAGTGAAGCTGAAAATCAATTCCATAAATACATACAGGATCACATATTGACAACTAATTCAACATTTTTTAAAATTAAATATTTATTTATTTATGCAAACAGATCTGGGGTACAGGCCAGAGGTGCAGGGGTAGTGAGAGGATTCACCAGAGTCAGAATGGGGAGCAGAACAGGCAGATCCATGTAATACACTGCTGAGGGGAGCAGCAGGCAAGCTAGAAGAGATCTGCTGCGCCATGTGGGTCACCTCCAAGGCCCGGGATCGAACTCACACTGAAGCAGCTGCACTAGCTTGTGGTGCTGTGTCCTAACCGATTACTCCACCAGGGAGGGCCTAATTCAACATTTTCTTTTTTAAAAAAATATTTTATTTATGCATACAGAACTGGGGTACAGGCCAGAGGTGGCAAGAGGATTCACCAGAGACAGAGTAGGGAGCAGAACAGGCAGACTGATGAAGTACACTGCCGAGGGGAGCAGCGGGGAGACAGGAGAGGCCTGCTGCACCATGTAGTCACTTCCAGGGCTGGGGATCAAACTCTCACTAAAACAGCTGCAGCTAGCTTGCAGTGCTGCGCTTTAGCCTGCTGCACCATCAGGGAGGGCCTATTTCAACATTTTCTAAGTGGACTGCATAAGCCCAAAGGCTGTCTGTGAGGGCCATCAGTTCTCCATGCTCCATAAACAAGATCTAATTTAATCTGATTTAACCTCTGAAGTGCTGCTGGGTCAGTGGATATGATTGTAGCTCCAAACTCAGTGGTATGATAAGGACATGCTACCATGAAAGTAAAGCTTCAGGACAGTGACACCTAGCAGGTTCTGGGAACATGCAAGCATGGCATCCTGGCAGGACTGCAAATCAGGTACAGCTGTGCCCTGTGTCCACATAGCCCCAGTGCCTAGCCACTAAGTAGGTGCTCAGAAAATGACTACGTGGGTCTCCATGTTTTTAACTAGCTTAGAAAATACCTACGATGCAGAAAGGTGGCCCACTGCTCTGGAATGTTACCTCGGGAATATGAGGCTGTCCACCAGGCCTGGATTTGGAGGTGCAAGAAGGAAGTTTCTACCCCTGAGGTGTTCAAGGGGTCCAGATGGGAGGGCCAGGGTTGAGGGAGGGATTCACTCCGGAAAGTACAATAAGAGAGAGGAGCAGATGCGGTTGCTGGGGTGGAAGGTGCTGTGTTGGGTTTGGGCCTGTTAGGGTGCAGGTTGCCAAAGGGACCTCCAGGGGGAGGCTGACAGTGGGGGAAGGAGGCAGGTAGAGTGAAAGCCAGTTTTGGTGCTTGGGGCTGAGGCTGAAGCCAGGGTCTTGGGGGGCGGGGGGGGAGGAAGAGTTGGGATTATCCATTCACTCGTTCATTCCACAACTATATATAGATGCTGACTCAGAGTCAGGCACTGATGTTCACTTTTAAACCGATAGGAACTGATGGCTGTTTGCAGCCTTTTATTGTACCAGGCCCTGAGCTAAGTGTTTTACCTGTGTAATACAATTTCGTCACCACACACTCTGAAGTAAGCTAAACTTTTGCCCCCACCTATTCACAAGAAAGGGAATGTGGGGGAAGGTCAAAGAACTTGGCCAGGGTCTCTGCTCTCAGTGGCCACTAGGTTTGTACGACAATCACTCCACTCACCCCCAGTTTTTTTTTTTTTTCCTGAAAGCCTTGCACATCTTTCCTGTACATTCTAATTTGTGCTGCTCACTCTGGGCTGTCGCTTGTCAGCTTTGCCCCTGGCTTTCCTACCCAGAGAGTGAGCCTCATGAGGACAGGAAGCAGATCTCCCTGGCTCATATTATACAGCCACACTCTCCTCCAAGAAGCCTTTAATCCCTGCCTCAGCAAAGGGCTTCTTCCGGGCCTCAGCCTGTGGTGCCTCCCGGAGCCCTCTGCTTGTGCCACTCAGCCCACTCTGGCCTGTCTCCACATTGGCCTGGGAGACTGGAGAGAGTTGGGTCAGCGGCCTTCTCTGTCCCTGTTGTGCTTGCCCCAGCATCACCAAGCTAGAGCTGGGCACAGGAAGGACATCAGTGAACACAAACGGATGAGTTCCAAGGAGTCTATAATTGTCCTGTGTTACTGATAAGGATACAGAGTTCTGGGCAGTTTAAGCAATTCGTCTGTCTCGCAACAAGTGAAGACAGCAAGAATTTGATTCTGGGCAACTGGAGAGCATAGCCTGTGTTTTTAGCCAATGTGCCAAATGCCTAATCGACTGAACAGCATCTTTTGACGAAGTTGATATCTTCCTGCTCTTTCCCCCAGACCAGTCCTTTCCTTCCAGAAGCTTTTGGAGCTTTGGGGCTGGAGGAGGAGAACAAGCAGGAGAGTGAGGAGGATAAGTGGAGAGAGAAGGGAGAGGCCAGGACTGATTTGCAGGAGAGAGCGTGGAATTCTTGAGGGGTTTCTCTAGACCCATAGGGGGCAGCCGGAGTCGGCTGCCGGAGGTGCGGAGGCGGAGAAAGGGTGGGGACCGGCCCCGCGGGGGGCGATGCGGTAGCTGCAGCGGCGGCCGCAGGAGTTTCCCACAATGCAGCGCGGCGCGCTGTCCCCGGTGCTGATGCTCAGCGCTGCCCCGGAGCCTCCGCCGCGCCCGCCTCCCGCGCTCTCCCCGCCGGGCTCGGGCACCCGCCATGGCTCGGCTCGGTCGGGTCCTGCCCCGGAGCCGTCGGGGAGCCTGGGCGCGGCGCTCGACAGCAGTCTGCGAGCCGCCGTGGCATTCAAGGCGGAGGGCCAGCGCTGTTACCGAGAGAAGAAGTTCCGGGAAGCCATCGGCAAGTATCACCGGGCACTGCTGCAGCTGAAAGCGGCACAGGGGTCCCGCCCTGGAGGCCTGCCAGCCCCTGCCCCCGGGCCCGCCACCAGCTCGGGGCCAGCTCGCCTCAGCGAGGAGCAGCGGCGCCTGGTGGAGAACACGGAAGTGGAATGTTATGACTCTCTCACGGGTACGGGGCCGTCGGGGGGCGCAGAAGGTGCATTTGTGAGAGGTGGGAGTGAGGGCCGGTCGGGAAGCTTTGTGGGCGGGGACTGAGGCTGGAAGGGGTCAGGACTGTGGTCTATGGTGGGCGGGGGGTGGGTGGCGACCTCAGAACTTGATCAAGGTGTGGGGGGGCGGGTTGGACCACAGGGGTGGAAGGAGCTTGGAGTCAGGGGTTTGGGGCTGCCACTGCAAATGGAAGTTGAGAAAAACTTACCCTGGGTGAGCCGCTCAAGGCCCGTTCTCTCACCTCTGAGACGGTCCTTTAGTTCTCTCGCCTTGAGAAACCGCCCAGCTAAGCGCCCGAGGGCTTATTCTGTGTTCTTCGCGCCCTCTAGCGGCAGCGCAGATTGATTGTATTTCGATAGGTGGAAAGATTGGCGGCCCTAGGGAAAGGCTGGAGGTGGGGGAAGGTGGGTGGCGGCAGACCGGGAGGTCTGGAGGCGCTGTTGACCCTGAGGTTACCGGCCCCCACGCCCCCCGCAGCTTGCCTGCTGCAGTCCGAGCTGGTGAACTATGAGCGCGTGCGTGAGTACTGTCTCAAGGTGCTGGAGAAGCAACAGGGCAACTTCAAGGCCACCTACCGCGCCGGCATTGCCTTCTACCACCTGGGCGACTATGCACGCGCACTGCGCTACCTGCAGGAGGCCCGCAGCCGAGAGCCCACAGGTGAGGGACGACTGGGAGCAGGGTAAGGGGCTAGCGCAGAGGAAACAGGGCCTGGAGGGTCAGGGCCGGTCTGCTCGGAGGGAGTGCTGTCCCACCCACACATTGCTTCACCATCCACCTCCTCAGTACCCGCCACCTTACGCACACACCTGCCGTCAAATGTCCACTCACCTGATTGCTCTGACATTCATCCAATCAACTCTCGTCTCTTCATTGACCTGTCCTGATGCCTCCCATTCATCCAACCCCATCCACCCACCCCACCTCTCACCCATTCTCACCCTCACTGATTGATTCACCTGTTTGCTCATCCACACTTGTTGAGCATTGGCCAGGAGGCAGACTGACCCTAAGGAGGGCAATGGCAGGACATTAGTGGTGTTGGGGGGGGTGAAAGAGATGGAGGCTTGTTCCTTGTCCTCTGGGAATCAGGGTTTGTGTGTGTGCGCGCGCTTGCACACGCGTGTGCAAAATATTCAGTTTCATGTTATGACCACAACAAGTGCATGGGCCAGGGGTGCAGGAGCCGAGGTGAGCTGAGCTCCGCTGCAAGTGTTTGCAGAGCAGACTTCTTGCAGACACCCTTGGAGGATGAGGGGAGCGTGACGGGGCCCGCGAGCAGAGGCTTTCCTGGCAGAAGGCGTAGCAAAAGCAAGAGCCGAGGCGTGAAGGCCCCGCTCAGCTTGTTGTGGCTGGGTTTTTGAAGGGCTCTGGCAATAGCTTCTGTGTGGGGGAGCCGCCGAAGGCTGGGGACAATGAGGTGTGAGCTGAAGTGGCGCAGCTGTCGCCTGCTGTCCCAGGACACCCAGATAATGCCCCGCCCGCCTCCCCGCAGACACCAATGTCCTACGCTACATCCAGCTGACTCAGCTGAAGATGAGCCGCTGCAGCCTCCAGAGGGAAGACAGTGGGGCCGGGGCTGGGACTCGGGGTGTCATTGGCTGAGGCAACCTAGGGGGACTGTCCCTCCCCCCACTCCCTCCAACGTCACCCTGTAACTTCCCCTGACTCATGTTTTCGCTGGTAAAGTACTTGTCACTGGTGATCATAACCTCTTTGTGTGGTGTTCTTCTGGGGACCAGGGAGGGGACATGGGTCTGAGTTTCACCCCAGACACGGGAGACCCAGGGAAGCCTAGGCATGGGGTGGGGGGGTGCTGATTCAGGATGTCACGGGGTCAGGACCTCGGCTGGGGAAAGACACACAGCCAAGCACAGCAGGGGGCAGGGGTCACCTTTAATGCTTCATTTTGTGCCAAATCCCCCATGATGCCCTGTCCCTGAGTAACCCGGCCCACCCCCACCCCCCTATGCAAGGCGGGCACAGGGCCCCACCCCTGGGTACAAAGGAATAAATTAAGCGATCCCCCCTCCCCCAATAAATAGGGTATCCTGCCCAGGGCCTCCCCTGCCTCATGGCCTGGTGGGCTGGGGCGGGGCCTGGGACGCTACATTCATGGCTGCCCAGGCGGGCGGTGGGGGTGGGCCTCAGTGGGAACCATGGACCCCACACAGGGGCACTGTGCTGTCCTGGCTCTGCCCCTCCATGTCCATGTCAAGCAGGGTGGGTTGCACGCTGGGGGGTCCGGGGCTCTCTGGAGTGTCCCGCCTGCTGGGCGGTGAGATGCTGAGTGTCCGACCAAAAGAGACCAGTTTCCAGGGGTCCAGGCGGGGGCGGCTGGCGGCTGGTCGGGGTCTTGGGGCGAAGGTCAGGGTGGTGGGGCGGCCAGGGAACTCGGGGGGCCGGCGCCGGGTGGGGAACAAGGCCTGGGGGTCTGGTAGGCGGGGGAAGTCCAGGGGGTCTCGAGCGCCTGGTAAGAGACAATCAGAAGAGGTGAGTGGGGGGTGGGGCAGGGCTGGATTTACAGTCAGGACTTTATGTAAAAGTCAATTCCTGACTTCTCTGGAGAAATCTGCTGGTCCTGTTGGTCCACCTGACACAACACACTGTCTCTCAGTGGGGTGCAGGGCGTGGGGTACTTGGAGGAGTGACTGCACCTCGCCACTGCACGGGTGAGGGTCAATTCAGAGCCTGACAGCAGGTCCTCGGTACCCTGCCAGTCACTGCTGACCAGCGAGGGGGGCAGAGCCTGGCTGGAGAGCGCTGGGCGGCTGCAGTGGTTATTACCGCGGCCCTTAATTCCTGGCCCCATGCAGTGTTGGGGGGGCCTCCCAGAACCCCCAGCAGTGAGGGGGGCAGACCCTTCCTCCCCAAGCCACCTTTAGCATCTAGGGGTCGCCATTGGCTGGGCACTGACCCTGGGGGCCAGGGAGAAGGGCTCTTTTCTGCCAGCTGGCCAGGGCGCCTCACTCACCCAGGCCAGAGCCAGCAGGTGCCGGCGCCCCCCGCTGCCCCAGCGCCCCATCCGATGGTGTTCGCCGGTGTCCGCGGCTCACTGCGCGGGCAGCAGTGACGTGGGTGGGCGTGAGCGACTGGCGGGGATCCTTCTTGAAGCTCTCCAGCTCCAGGTCC